TCAGTTAAGTGTCTGCCTTTGGCTCAGGTCATGATCCCAGGGTCAGGATTGAGCCCTATCTTGGGTCCCCTGCTCAATGGGGAGTCTGCCTCTGCCCCCACTCGTGCTCTCTCTCTCTCTCGCTTTCCTTCTCTCTCAAATAAAATCTTTAAAAAAAAAAAAAAAAGAATGAAGAGAATTAGAAATGGTAAATTTGTGGGTGAATGTTATTTTTTTAAAGTAAGAAATATATAATTGATTGTTTAAACAAAAGTAATAGTGATGTACTATGAGGTTTACAATACCTGTGATAGCAGTAGAAATAAAACATAGACACCACCACAAAGGATGGAACAAGAAAAATAGGAATACAATTCTGTAAGATTCTTAAGTTATATACTAAGTGGTATATTACCCCAAAGTAGTCTCTGATAAACTAAAAATGTGTATTGGAAACTCTAGAACAACCACTTAAAAAATAAGGCAAAGAGGTATAGTTAATAGCAAATAGAGCAAACCTGTAAGAGCCTATCTTTAAAAAATGAAATGCTGAAGGGGAACCTGGGTGGCTCAGTCTGTTAAGTGTCCAACTCTTGGTTTCAGCTCAGGTCTGATCTCAGGGTCGTGAGATCAAGCCCCGTGTTGGGCTCTCTGCTCAGTGCACAGTCTGCTTGAGTTTCCCTCTCTGTCTGTGCTTTCCCTACCTCAAGTAAATAAATACATCTTTTTAAAAAAAACAAAAAACCTAGAAAAATACTCAGCTGAAGTCAGGAAAAGAGGGAAAAAGGAACAAAGAGAAAACAAAGAGCAAGACTTAACCTCAACCATATCAATAATTATACTAAATGTACATGAGCTAAACATGCCATTTAAAAGGCAGAGATGGTCAGACTGGAGAACTAACTACATACTATCTACAAGAAACATGTTTTAAATACAAGGACACAAACATGTTAGAAAAACAAAGATGGAACAAGAGATACCACACAAATCCTAATTTTAAGAAAGAAAACCAGAATAACTACATAGTAGTATCAGAAAACAAAGACTTTAGAGCAAAGAATATTACCAGAGATTAAAATGGTCCATTTCACAATGATAAAAGGTGAGTTCACTGAGATGACATAATAATCCTAAATGTGTATGCATCCAGTCATAGAACTTCAAAATACTTGAAGACTGACAAGAATTGAAAGGACAACATAGACAAACCCACAATTTTAGTTGGAGATTTCAATAGTCCCCTTTCAGTAATTGATAGAACAAGTGTAACTGTATAGAAGGCTAGAACAATGTCAACACCTTGACCTAACTGACATACACTGAACATGACACCCACCAACTGCAGAATGTCCATTCTCTCTTAAGTACACATAGAACATTCACCAAGATATATCAAATGCTGGGCCAGAAAAATCTAAAAAAGTTCTCTGACCACATGAAAGGAAATTAGAAATCATCAACAAAAGGAAATCTGAAAAATCACCTAAAACTGAGAAATTAAGAAACTCATTTGTAAATAACCCTTGGATCAAAGAAGAAATCCCAAGGAAACTCGGAAAACACTTCTAAGTCAACATAAAAATATAACATCAAAATGTGTGGGATGCAGCCAGAGTGGTGTGTACAGGGGAGTTCATAGCTTTAGATTTCTTATTAGAAAAAAAAGGTTCAAAATTAACAAAATAACAATTTTAGAACAAGATAAACAAACTATGTGATCAATGTGTATTTACACACTGCCTACCCTAATAGCTTACAGAATCACAGATTGAAAGAGATTTTGGGAATGTACCTTATTCAACCTCGAACACTACCAATTCAGGTATTTAAAAAAAGGAACCCACATTAGGGCGCCTGGCTGGCTCAGTCAACAGAGTGTGTGACTCTTGATCTCGGGCTTGTAAGTTCAAGCCTCATGTTGGGTGTAGAGATTACTTAAAAACATTTTTGGGGGGGGGGTGCCTGGGTGGCTCAGTAGGTTAAGCCTCTGCCTTCGGCTCGGGTCAT